AAGGATCATTACCCATTATCACTACAACTCTTCCTCCAATTATTGCTTCAAATTTTCTGAACTCAAATTTAAACTTTCACACTTCATAGTCAAAGATAATGTCGAAAGGAGTTTGTAGAAATTTCTGATGTATTTTTTTATTTTTTATTCATTTTTTGTGTATTTATTAAGATAAATACACACAAAATGAAACTCTAATGACATGTGGCGCTATATGAGAATGAAACACGTCTGAAGTACTAACGATGCACCTGTCAGGTGCTGCCACTTGTCATTCTTTTCAATTTATTACCATTTTTAATGCTTTAAATTCCAAAAATCATAATAAATTTATTAAAAAGCAGAAAAATAAGCCAAAAAATCCTAACGAACTCCTTGTGACATTTTCTACATGTTTTGAAATTTAGAATTTAATTTTGATTTATAAAAAAATAAATAATTTTTCAAAGTCAAGTTTGTGTAACACCAAGTGTAAAGAACATTACGCTTCATCACTAGAACTCTTCCTCCAATTATTACTTCAAATTTTCCAAACTCAAATTTGAACTTTCACGCTTCCTAGTCGAAGATAATATCGCAAGGAGTTTGTTGAATTTTTTTGTGTATTTTTCTGATTTTTTAATCATTTTTTATGTATTTATTAAGATAAATACACACAAAATGAAACTCTAATGACACGTGGCGCTACGCGAGAATGACACACGTCTAAAGTACTTACAATGCACCAGTTAGGTGCTGCCACTTGTCATTCTCTTCAATTTATTATAATTTTTAATGCTTTAACTTTCAAAAATCATAATAAATTTATTAAAAAGCATAAAAATACCCCAAAAAATCATACGAACTCCTTGTGACATTTTCTACATGTTTTGAGATTTAAAATATAATTTTGACTTATAAAAAAATCAAATAATTTCTCAAAGTCAAGTTTGTATAACACTAAGTGTAAAGATTATTACCCTTTATCACTACAACTCTTCCTCCAATTATTACTTCAAATTTCCCAACCTCAAATTTGAACTTTCATGCTTTATATCGAAGATAATGTCGCAAGGAGTTTGTAGAAATTTTATGATTTTTTAATCATTTTTTGTGTATTTATTAAGATACATACATACAAAATGAAACTCTAATGACACGTGGCGCTAAGTGAGAATGACACACGTCTGAAGTACTGATGATGCACCAGTCGAGTGCTGCCACTTGTCATTCTCTTCCATTTATTACTATTTTTAAATGCTTTAACTTTCAAAAATCATAATAAATTTATTTAAAAAATAGAAAATTACCCAAAAAAATCCTACGAACTCCATGTGATATTTTCTACATGTTTTGAGATTTAAAATATAATTTTGACTTATAAAAAAATTAAATAATTTCTCAAAGTCAAGTTTGTATAACACCAAGGGTAAAGATCGTTACCCTTTATCACTACAACTCTTCCTCCAATTATTACTTCAAATTTCCCAAACTCAAATTTGAACTTTCATGCTTCATAGTTGAAGATAATGTTGCAAGGAGTTTGTAGAAATTTTCTTTGTATTTTGCTGATTTTTTATTCAATTTGTTGTGTATTTATAAAACTCTAATGACACATGGCGCTATGCGAGAATGACACACATATGAAGTACTGACGATACACCATTCAGGTACTACCACTTGTCATTCTCTTCCATTTATTACTATTTTTAAATGCTTTAACTTCCAAAAATTGTAATAAATTTATTAAAAAGCATAAAAATACCCCAAAAAATTCTACAAACTCATTATGATATTTTCTACATGTATTGATATTTAAAATATAAGTTTGACTTACCAAAAATTCAAATAACCATAGTGATTTAACAGAGATGTTGCATGTGTTGTAGGGTGCATAACCATAACCATGATGATACATAAATGACCTACTAATATTATCCCCATAGACAACCTGTAATATGCAACAAGCATGATACTCATTGATGCCATGATACAAAAAAGCATGATATACATGATGATACATAAATGACCCATTATCCTCATATACAGCTCAAAATATGCAACAAGCATGATATTCCAAGATACAAAAAAGTTTATCACGTAAGAGATGGTTTCTCATGTTCCTGAAATTTAAACCAAATTGGGTGTAGATTATCTTCAACTTTAAATCAGAAAAAGTTGAAGATAAGTAGATTGTCTACAACAGACTAAGGGCATCAAATAGGTAGTGACATAGAGATGCAGCCCAAATTACAGAATAAGATATCAACAACCTAAATTATTGGACGGCATATAAATCAACAAATCAACAACCCAAAATAAAAAATAAGATACCAAAATCCAAGAAATCCATATCAGAAAAACGCAAAAATGGAGTTGAGCAGCCAATGCTATATAAATCATTCCAGCAAGTAAAATCAAAACAAAGGGCATCGATCTAGACCTAATGCCCTCCCCATCCCCCTCCCAGCCATCACCGCCCCACCTGGTCCACCCCTTCCCACCAAAAACCATACCTAGACCTACCCAACACCCACCCAAAACCCAACCCAAATCTTATCCTCCACTCCTCACCTCTCATATCTCTCCTAAGAATCCCACAACCATCTCAAATCCAATTTTTTTTTGTAAAATCAGTATGCTTAAAAAAAAAAATTCAGATTTGGAACTTGGGTTGAGTGGATGTTGAATAGGAAAAGAGAAAGAGGGAGATAGAAAAAGGAGGGTGGGTTGGGGGAGAAGAAACAAAAGGATGATGGTGGGATGGGGTTGGTGGGTGTTGATTAACTCCTAATTCAGAGTCTCTTGTTTGTTTGAGAAAAAATAGTTGTTCTAGTGGGGTCTTGATAGAGAAGTTGGAGAGGACGGGGTCTTAGTTAGATATATGGGTTTTATTTGACATGTTTCTATGTGAAACACTTTAAAACCATCTTTTAATCTCAATTGTCCAAGTTTATTCAACGGTCTAGATACAAGTTCGCACGTAATATTCGCATATAGCTATTCTCACCTGCTCCGAGCGCAACAACTAATAAGACTTAGGGCTCGTTTGGTACTCGGGATTGGCTTGGACTGGCTTGGACTAAATTTAGTACCATGTTTGTTTGATCTAATCCTAGTCTTAGATGAGATTGCTAATACCGGGCCCACCAAAAACACCTCCTTAGGAGGGGACTAGTAATCCCATGTGGAAGGGGAGGATTAGCTAGTCCCAATGCTCACCAATGTATAAAATGCATATATTATATTGTAAAATTAATAACATATATTATTATTATTAAACTTACTTACACATATACTATAATGTACATATATACATGTATATAGACATAAATTTATAATATATGTATATATGTATATATATGTGTATATATATGCATACACATATATACATATATAATATACATATACATATATACATGTATATTATTATTATAATATACCCATATACACATATACATATTAATATTATAATAATAGCATACATGTATATATGTAATATATATTATATATTACAATACATATATATACATACGTATATATACATATATGTGTATATATATTATACCCATGTATGTATTATAGTATACATATACACACATATATACACATATACAATATATACACCTATATACACATATATTATATATGTATAATGTATGTATATATATATATATATGTATTTTATAATATAATATATATACATGTATATACATGTATGTGTACATATATATATACATACATATGTTTATATTATTTATAATATACATATATACATGTATATACACATAAATGTCACATCTATTATAAAATACATGTGTACACATACATAATATATTTATTTATACATATATACATATACATAGATAGTTTTGAAAAACTAAAAAAAATCTAGTCCTAGTCCAAGCGTACATCAAACGCAGGATAAGTGTTATCCAACTTAGACCAAGCCAAGCCAAGCCAAGCCAAGATAGCCCCTAAGCATAGTCCATGCCAAGACAGTCTTGTGTACCAAACGAGCCTTTAAAGTCCAAGCCAATTCAAGCTAGTCCAGTCTAACACTTAGGCTGTGTTTGGTATGCCTCATTGGACTGGACTATGCTAAATAGCACTTGCAACCCATGTTTGGTGAAAGAGGGGACTAACTTAAATGGGATTCTACAATCCAACAGTGCAAAAAGCACGGTACTCGCTCGTCCAAAACAGGGAGGACGAAATGTGGCTCGCAGAATAGTAAACCTACTATTCTGAAGAGGAGAGTCCAACCAACACATGGGGAAGCCTAAACACCAATGCCAGCGCCCGCACCTCGGAGGCCATTACTCTTTCCCTTGCTGATTATGTTGTATTCATGTCAATAACACACACACACAAACACACACACACACACACACACATATATATATATATATATAATTTTCATATTTCAATTTAGGCCCAAAATTTCAAGTTTTCATATTTCAATTCGGGCTTACAAGATTACAGTGATGATGAGGATGCTGATGGAGGCTTTGACTGGTGAGTACTTCCTTTCGCGCCTTGTTTAGCCGAAGAGAAGTGTGATGAAATGGTGGAGCTCCTATGGGTCAACAAGTTGCGGACTTTAGACCCACTTTGCTTTGTTGGAGAGGATTGAGAGTGAAAAAAGATTTTCTTGGTGACTGAAGGGTGATCGTAGATCAGAGGCCACTGTTTGGTTCAAGGTCGGTGATGGGAAAGAAAAGTAGAGATAGAGCAGAAGGAAGAGGAAAGGAGAGAATGAGTTTTTTTATTTCCTATTTTAATTTTTTAATTTTATAACATTTTAAAAGATTTTTTTATTCTTTTATTTCACACATAAGCCCCAATTTAATATTCCTAATTGAATTTAAATATTTTTCATATCAAAATCCCTAATTGAATTTAAATATTACAAGAATCATTTTTTAATTTAAATATTTTTTTTTGTTTGGTCTTCACTATTTTTACAATCTAGTTTCTTAGTCTGACGCAGCATCAAACGTAGTTTAGTACTTAATCCAGTTTAGGCCAATCTGAGCTAATCCAAGACAGTCTCAGAATTTAGTCCAATCTATAATAGTCTGCCGTACCAAACAAGCCCTTAAAGTCCAATCCTAACCAATCTAGTCCAGCCCACTAAACAGGCCTAAATGTTTGTGAATGACACCCATAACATTATTTACAACATAAAAAAAATCCTTCTAAGGTAAATTTCTTTGTTTGGTCAATGGTAAAATTTGATCGACAGTTGGACTCGGGTCATCGGGGACACTTGGACTCGGGTCATAAGGGACACCTGGACTCGGGTGAGTTGCTACTTTTCTTTTCCTCAGAGTCACACACAGTCAGAGTTCACTTTGCCAGAGACTGTTTGTTTTATATTCAAAGGAGCTTCTCAGGCAAAAGACAGAGAAAGAAAGTAAACCCTCTCTTCACTTCACTGCCATTCATTCAACTCACCGAGTCAGCGAGCGAGTTCGAATGGGCGATCCTCTGGAGAGGCTGGGATCGGAGGCCGAAGGGCTTGAATCGAGCATCAAGGACGACCTCTCCATGGAGATCGATCCTCCTTTCAAAGAGAACACGGCCACAGCCGACGACTGGAGAAAGGCGCTCAGCAAGGTCGTCCCCGCCGTCGTCGTTCTGAGGACAACCGCGTGTCGTGCCTTCGACACTGAGGCCGCTGGTGCTAGCTATGCCACTGGCTTTGTCGTCGATAAGCGCCGCGGGATCATCCTCACCAATCGCCATGTTGTCAAGCCTGGTATTTTTGTGGTTCTCAGCTTTCTTTTTCGTTTGGTTCCTGAGAAAGTGTGAGAGAAAGAAACAGAAACTAATGATTTTGAATGTTTAAGTTAATTCGAGTTCAGAAAGTTTCCTTAAGTTTCTTCAAGTTCAAGTGCTTGGTAATGATTGTCTAGTCTGTTAATTTTCTGCCTATTTGGTAGCTGAAAAATGTGCGAAGTGAAAAGAAAGGGATTATCTCTTTGGGACAGGAGTAAAAGAGTAAATCTTGTCTTTCTTGGATTTGAAGTATTTTTAGTTACGGAAAATATTGCTACTGTATGGTCAATATTTACCCTGTGAGAAATTGCTTTTCTATGGTTTTTATGTTTACTGAGAAAATGGGAGTTTGATAGTCGTATTACGTTTTCTAATATTAAATTTGAAAATATCGATGGAAATGATTTCCACAATCGATACTGGTGCAGAACTTGGGTTTTCAATTCAACAAACTAATCTGGAGTCTGTGCAATTTATTTATTTATTTTAAAAATCAGATAAAAAGAATGTAAGAAAAATATGTCAAAACTTCAACTTTGAATTGTGTAATAATTGTCTGGACAGAACAACATTTAGCGCTTTTTCTTTTTCTGTCTTTTCAACTGAACCTGATATAAGGATCTTCAACTGCTTTGCTATCCTTCTAATTCTGTTTCTTTGGTACTGTAGGACCTGTAGTTGCAGAAGCCATGTTTGTGAACCGTGAAGAAGTTCCAGTATACCCTATATACAGGGATCCGGTGAGTAAATTCTTCTTTTATGTTTGATTTATGATCTACCATATCACCGTGGTTTGGAAATTTTTTCTTGTTTTACACCATTAAATAATCTCATATCCACCTGGTGTGGTTTGGTTCCTCGTGCCTCTGCTGTTCTCTTAATTACCATAGAAAATGAAAAATTTGTATTGCAGATTGATCAGTTTATTTCTTTAATTGATTTAAGATTTGTCAAATTTCCAATTAAGTTCTTCAAATCGTAAGACATCATTGTGATTTTGGTAAAGCAAAAATAAGATTATCTGTTTATATTGTTCCTCATACAAGTATGACCACAATATGCACATGCAGGGGCGGATCCAAGAATTTTCTTTCCCGGGGGCAAGAAAACACTACTACCAAGTCACTAATAATGAAGATCAATCTACCTCTTAAATGTAAAAAGACACATCATATAAACATATCCATGCACAAACTAGATCCAACAAACTTTACACCTTCTGCCTAATTCCTCTATTGCAAGAAGCAAAGAGAAGAATGAAATATGAAATAGTGAGTCCAGAGGACAATAACATAAGTAAAGGAGTAGAGCATGTTGCCTCCTTGCCCTGCCTTAGTCTTCTTTGAGGCGTTTAATTAAATAGCTTGCCCCCATATAGCAAAAAAATTCATGAAAACTTGGCACCTTGAACATGATTGAGTCAAGGCAAGTGCCTTCACTGGACCCTTAATGGATCCGTCAATGTGTACATGACATTTTCATTAGTCAGGAATGTACAATATTTTCCATTAGTCAACAAGTAGTCTGCAAGCAATAGCACATCAAAAAGCAAAACACTAGTTTACTGCACCAGCCATTCTATTCTTCAAATTGCATGTTATAGGCATTTTGGAAGTTTTAGCTTGACAATCAAATATTTTCTCACCTTTTCATAATAAAAACTATGACAATATTGACTCACACCTAGCTTTAATCAAACATGTTGGCCTTTGTAACAGGCGCAAATATGATGTCTTTACAATCAATGTGTGTTACTGACATGTTGTGTATATTGGTAGCACTAATATGTGTATATATTTTTTCAGGTACATGATTTTGGCTTCTTTTGTTATGATCCTGGTGCAATACAGTTTCTTAATTATGAAGAGATTTCTCTGGCCCCTGAGGCTGCTTGTGTTGGTCTAGAAATCAGGGTTGTCGGTAACGATAGTGGTGAAAAGGTATTCATTCGTGAATTTTGTGCTTTCACTTAATGCCTCTTAATTGTTTGTCGTACATTTAAGTGACTTGTTCTTTAGTTGACTCACTTCATTTTTTAGGTCTCTATTTTAGCTGGTACTCTTGCTCGTTTGGATAGGGATGCTCCTCATTACAAAAAGTACGTATCGGCTTTACTAACATTTGCTATATTACTTTATTCATTTTCTTTTATTCTTGAAAACTAATGAAATGACATACATTATCCTATATTTATAGCATAGTTTTGTTCAAAATAAGAATGTTACATTTAATGGTAGCTGTTTGTTTTGGATAAGCAAAACTATTTTGAGGACAACTAGTGCATGGGGCGTATACTAGACAGACAGATTTGTATAGTGAAAAGAAAGGTTTGATGCTTTAGCATCTGATGGTCTGGGAAAAACCAGAGTTAACAAAATTAACAAACCGACACCCATGTGAAAGGAATATTCAAAAAGCTGTTTTTGTCATTCATGTAAGAGTGCATGGGATGCATACTAGGCAGATATGTATAGTAAAAAGAAAGCTTGATGCTTTAGCATCATATGGTCTAGGAAAAACCAGAGTTAACAAAATTAACAAACTGACACCCATGTGAAAGGAATATTAGAAAAAGCTGTCTTTGTCATTCATGTAAGAGGCTCCAACCCCATTGATGCTGTCTTGGTGTTTTTTGTTATAAAAGAAAAAAATAAAATAAACAAAAGCCCAAAGGAAGAGCTCATCAAGAAGTTTAACATTCTTGCTTACCTAAATTTTTAAGCAGAGCATCCATTGAACCATGGAATTTGGTGTTTCTAGTATGCCTTAGATGCTTACATCATATTTTGGATTTCCTCAGTGACAGGACAATGCAAAAGTAAATCATCCTCTGTTTTGATCATCATGCTTAACATATAAAGACCAACTACGGACAATCTGTTTTCTCCTTACTTGATTTTCCAGTGAATTTGTTCAAAGCAGCAGTTGATGGAAACAATAAAAGCCTTTGCTGGTACCCCCAGCTCTCCGAGTACTCTTAAATGGAAAAGTGCTTACAATAAACTTTACAGTGCTACTTCCGTTCTTCTTAGTGGAAATCTCGATTTCACCTAATCTGCAACCTCTAATTAAATGCAGGGATATGATTGTGAAAATTTAAACCAACCTGAACTACAGGGAGCAAATTATAATTAGACCTTTTAATAAATTTCTTTTCCAAAGGTTTGCCCAAATTAAGACAACACAACCGAGGCTGTTATGTTATGCTAGTAGCCTATGATAGGAAGTAACCTTAACCATCTGAGCGTTTGTTCTTCAGACTCTTTAATACAGGTTTACTGCCTTTTCTGGTTAATCATGATTGTGTTCTTGCGCAGGGATGGTTACAATGACTTCAATACATTCTACATGCAAGTAAGTGGCATATTTTTTTTTATGCTACCTTATAATTTCATGTATTCCTCCCACGCTGGAGTAGTTTTTGGGTTTAAAGTTTTGTGACATTTCCATTTGAGTCTGCTTCAGAGTATTTCTTTTTGTCAAAAATGCTCCTATGAGCAATATATTCTAAGCGCCTCTCAGTGCTCTAAACATCCAGCTTTTGGATGGATTTGAATGATCGATATACCTAAGTGTTTGTATTCTTTCTAACCACTGAAAGTGGTTGGCGCTTATAGACGCTTAAATGCGTCACTTATATGAGCGTTCCTGTTTCTTTTGTAGGGTAGATATTTTGGGCTATACTTGGGCCGTATTGTTCTGCTTTATTGGTTGTTGGGTGAGGATGAAGATATAAGGTACAACAAAGGGAAGGAGATTCCATTTACAAAAAGGTAAGTGGAAGGATAATTTAATCGACAAGAGAAGAAGATTGATGAATAGAAAACAGAAGTTTGTTGCTTCAACATATATTAATCTTAATATATGGCAATTTCTGACTGGCTGAGGGTTTTTAATTGTACACATGCAATATTTTTTGAAGGGCTTTTTTCCCCCCCTTGATACCTGAAGCTATACCCATTTATCAATTCAGTACATGAAGAATAATTTGTCCCCCTTTAGTCCCTCTATTAATTTTGTGTCTAATAAATAAAAATTTCATTAGAACGGTTAACATATCTCAGGGGCAATTTTGTGTCTTGCTTATTATTATTGAAGCCACATTTGATGAACAATATGTAAGTACCAAAATTGTGCTGGAGATTTGTTAACCATTTGTATGAAAGTTTGATTTGATATTCAAAAAATTAAATTAGGGCATAAATCGGAACAAATTATTGTTCAGGAACTTAATTGAGGCCAAAGTGTAAAAAACCCTTTTAAACTAGGTAGTAGATGCTGTTATAAAATAAAAAGGAACACCGAACATAATCTGAGGTGAGCATTTATGCCTTTATAAATGCCCTTCGTCCTCCTTGCTCCATGTTGGCCATGTTTGCCTTAAGAAATTGTTTATAGTACCAGACAGCACTTCTTCAGAAAAATAAGCCAAAGCCCTATCTAAGGATGATGTAACGTTAATGTTATCTGCTGAAAGTCTTGATTGCAAAGACTATAGTGTCATTCTAATTTCTTTATTGTTATGGGAGGAAAATTAGTTCTTACAAGGGTACATTAATGCATTACTGGTTTTTTCTTGAAACATTCAAGCCTTGTCTGACATTTCTGTCTCAGTTCTCTGGAGTGGAACTTTTTCTTTCCTTTTTTATTTTACAACAAACTAGTGTATTTCCAACTCATGTGAGTTGGGAGAAATTTCTGTGGTCCTTTTAAATGATGCTCGGGGGACATAGTGATTCCTTGTAAAACTTACACGTGCAAAAGTTTGTACGTAAGGTAATTGTCTTTATGCTTTAATTTATGTTGCTGATAAATCAAATAGAGTCCATCAAGGGCATAAATGTAATGTTAGAATCTGGCAGAGTTTAGATGTGAATATTACGTTGCACTGGCAGAGGATTTACAGATGAGGCTTTAAGATATGGGCAAATATACATTTTTGGTCCTTTGTGACAATAAGGACTGGATCATTACTGATTCTGTTATTGAATGACTTTGCATTTTTCTTTTTGTCTGGGAAATGTATCTTTCGCTGCTAAAAGCTTTAGCTAAAATTTCACATTTATATTTATTTGTTAATTGTATTTGTTATAGGCTGCATCTGGCACTAAAGGTGGTTCCAGTGGATCTCCTGTGGTTGATTGGTTAGGCAGGGCAGTGGCCTTGAATGCTGGTAGCAAGTCATCAAGCGCTTCAGCTTTTTTTTTACCCTTAGAACGAGTAAGTGCATTATATATCTCCTGAATCTTTATTGGTTCTGCATGGTGATTAAATAATTTAGTTTTGTAACAATTATAATTTGTAACATGGAGTTGTTCAAACTGCAGGTTGTGAGGGCATTGAAGTTTCTCCAGAAAGGCAGAGATTCCTTTGTCAATAAATGGGAGGCAGTCTCTATACCTCGTGGTACGCTTCAGGTTTGTGTCGGAATTATCCTGAAAGGGAATCACTTCAATTAAATTGTTTCCCAATTTTTAAGAGTTTCATAGACAGAAGAGTACTGCTTTTTTGGTGGGGAGTTAACCAAATTCCTCCCAGAGCGATTTTTACCTTGTAGGTCGCCTTTTTTAGGTAACAGAAATGGTGTTATTTACAAATTATTTAAATTTTTTTTTATGGAGGGTAGGTAGGATAAATACATAAAGGTACAGGGAATTCTTGATTATAGTACCTGATTAATTTGAGTTTTTGATAAGAAACAAAGAATTTCATGCTGTTCAGAATTTTTCTACTGTGGTTTACTTTATCTTAGTTTTTTTTTACATTATTTGAGGAATTATTATTTTGACGCAGCTTATGTTATTTATAATATAGGTGACTTTTGTCCATAAAGGATTTGATGAGACACGCCGACTTGGCCTTCAGAGTGAAACAGAGCAGGTTTTAATTTTTTTTTTGCCGTCTGCTTTTCCCATACTTCACAATTGCCATGAAAAGTAGGGTGCCTCAAATAACTTGTTGTTTTGATTTGTTTAGTTAGTTCGTCATGCATCTCCCCTGGGCGAAACTGGGATGCTTGTTGTTGAGAATGTGGTAAGTATTCCTGTGGACTTTGAAATTGTACCAAATTTGTCCTTTTTTTCCCATGGCGATACAATGCTCACTTCTAGGATGCATATGATGCTGGACTTGTTTTAGGTACCTGGTGGTCCAGCTTACAAGTGTTTGGAGCCAGGTGATGTTCTTGTTTGCATGAATGGGGAAGTAAGTTATGCTTTTCATCTCAGATTAACTTTATCATTTATAGAAATAAGCTGTTCTTAGATGACGTGCGTAATCATTGCTACATCTGGTTTTGTTCTTTATGCATCTGACCACCACTTCATTTGCAAATGTCGTAATCACATTATAAAACTTACTTTTCCCACTTGCCTACCATCTATATGGGGCTACAAATCTAAAAATAAAAGTCTCATTGATGAGTTATGAGATGCCATTAACTTGATGTTCACTAGATAACACCGTAGTATTACCTGTTTTGAATGGTTTCTCCTTTTGCAAAATGTTTTTTCAGATTCCATAAATATGTAATGAACATTTTTCGTGGTCCATATGTTTATTTTAGACGACATATGCTAGGATTTAACTTTTTCATTTGTCTTTGTTTATGATCATTCCAAAGTAATTACTTTTAGGCTCTATATGATTTTGGGGGAAATAAACCTGAAAGTCTTTTCCTGCAGGACAGTACTTACACGAGTGAATCTAACATATTGAATTCCTTGTGCAGGTAATTACCCAATTCCTGAAATTGGAGACCTTACTTGATGACAGTGTTAATCAAAAGATTGAAATGCAAATTGAAAGGGGTGGCAAACCATTAACTGTAGATTTGGTGGTGAGAGTTTTTCTTGTTTGGTATTGGTGTTTTGCTACAGAAAAGTCTCGTATGTTTGTCTAAATAATTTAGTGCAGTGGCCACCATTTGGTGCAATGTTCTGTAATTCTTAATGGAGGTGCTGCAAGGTTTCCCCCCTAAAGCCAACTGCAAAAAGTTGTCCCTCTAACTCAAAAATAGTGTTTAACCACCTCGAAGGGCTTATTGTCCATCTCTAGATATAGGCATTCAAAATTGATATATTCAATTTCTTGGATATGAACTCCTTGATGTTTGGGTTAAAGTTCAGTTTTGTTTCTTAGAATGGAGCCAAGTTTATTATGTGTTTGATTTTCTTAATTGGTCGACTTATTTTGGTAATTTTGTGTAACAACTACTTGACTACTTGGAACAACATCAAAAACAAAAATCATAGGTGACAGTGACACTATGAAAATATTACTAGGAGTTGAAAACTTGTAAAACCTCATTAAAAAACATGTGGGGAAGAAAAAAGGAAAGTAAAAACGACAACAGTTAGAGTTGGAAACATCCCTAGTGTATTTAGATGAAAGCACTGAAACAGGTGGATCAGGTGTCTAGAAATTGAGGTAATTTGAAACATCCTTAGTCTATTTAGATGAAATCACTGAAACAGGTGGATTGGTCGTCTAGAAATTGAGGTAATTCACCTGTTAATGATGCTCTGATGGCGCTTTAGACATGGCTAGGTTAGAGGTGTTTTCTCTGACAAATTTTTCATGTCACAAGTCAACTTTTCTTGTGTAAGCCTTTGTTGGGAAGCACTTGGTTTAGATAGAGTTAATTTTCTTAGATGGATGCTTGGCAAATTGCATCTTGAGTTTTTATCTCTGAAATTTTGCCTCTCATTAACATTGGATGTGAAATCGCTGCTTCATAAAACGGTGGCCCTCCTTCCTCCTGCTTCATAAAATGGTGAAGGAGAGACTAATTCCTAATTTCCTATATTACGCTGCAGACTCTTTAAGACCTTTCATTTTCTCCAGTGGGCTAGCTTTGAACTTAAACTTATTGAGGTCTCAATTAACACATAATTTATTCATATGCATTATGTGCTTGGTTGCAGTTTGGTTGTATTCCTTTAGTTTGTTGCTGTGTTTTTATTGCTGTTCCATAAAGAAAATTTGCTATCTTTTTTATTTCAGGTGCAGGATTTACACTCAATAACCCCTAATTACTTCTTAGAAGTAAGTGGTGCAGTGATACACCCTCTCTCCTACCAACAGGTTGGTGGATTTTGTGGTTTTTGTTTAGTATTTTTGAGTGATCTAACAATTTGGTGCAGTGTTATTGTTCTCTTAGTCGTGTTTGTACTCAGTATTTGGCATGCCGTTAACAAGCCAAGTGTATTTCTTTTGCATATATTGCATGTTTATATTCTATGGAGATAGTTGATTAAAGGGCGCTAAGAGGCCTTATTTGAAATATGTTGGGCCTGCCTACTGAAATACTATTCCTCGTGTTTTTATGCCTTTCACCATGGATTTTCATCTCAATTTGCCTGACTTGTATTAAACCTTTCACTTAATATCATGACATTTTGGCTTCTAAAACACTTCTTTTTCATACAGGCTAGAAATTTTCGTTTCCATTGTGGCCTTGTGTATGTGTCAGAACCAGGGTATGTTCTCTTGATCTTGTGCTATATGTTTAGCTTATTGTTATTACTTGAATTCAGAAACTATGGCGTATGGGATAATGTTATCAGTTTTCTGTATCATCGGTTGCCATTTTTCCCTAAAAAAACTTTTCCCTAAAAAGTTCAGTTGCGCATAATGATAATTAATGATTCCCTATAACTTTTTCTGTAAGAAGCAAATGTATTCTGGGGTTTATCTATCATGAATTGTGTTTAAAGCAGCCAAAGAGGATTTATTAATCAAATGTTAGGAGTAGGCTTCCACCCCCCAATATATATATATATATATATATTTTTTTTTTCTAATTTTTGCTAAGTAGTAATCCAAGTTATATTTGAAAAGGGTGAAACTCCATATAGCAAGTTGACTGAAGAAGGGATTCAACGAGGTGAGAATTAAAGACTTTTGTCTCTTAAACCTTCTATGCTAAATAGAAAGATCTCAAACATGGTTATGTGACCATAAAAAGATATGAGAAACGTAAAGACTTTTGTCGCTGCATAAATGTACTGAAAACCTATTCACTTCAACTTTGAAATTTCAAAATCATAGTTGTTACCAGTGTAATCTGTATTCGTCATGTGTCATATTTTTTAATTCAGAAATTTTGAAGGGTGAATTTGGAAAGTAGAATAGGCCATGGTCTTTCTCTCTTTATTTCGTTTTGCAGTAGGCCTCTTGACATAATTGGTATATTATTTTAAATTGTTGCAGATATATGCTCTTTAGAGCTGGAGTTCCTCGCCATGCTATCATTAAGAAGTTTGCTGGTGAGGAAATATCAGGACTTCTGGATCTAATTTCAGTTCTATGCAAGCTATCTCGGGGTGCTCGAGTGCCATTAGAGTATATAAGCTACATGGATCGTCATCGAAGGAAGGTATATGTTGATTTAATCTATGATAATCTTCCACCAACGTATGAAAATATTTGCCCCCTCTGCTGGTTTCCAAAATTCATCTTTAAGATTACATAAAGGAAAAGCAACATAGAGTCATTAGTCTGAGGTTAAGGGTCTAGTTCTGATTTCTGAAAGATAGAGTCCACTAGTCTGAGGTTTTTCCAATGAAACTCAGCAGAGGCTTGCAATGAGCTGCCCCATTAGAGTCATTAGCAAAGTCAGCTAATTGAATTATTTTCTTTTCTTTTTTTGAATAAGAAACACAGAATTTATTGATGAAAAGAAAGAATATACCGGTAGGATGGAGAAGTCTATCATGCCCAAATTAACACCCTCAAGAATCTCAAATTTTATTCGAATTGAAACATCCAATCTAAAAGAATTACACGAAGGGAAGATGCCCAAATAGAAGCTAAAAAAATTAATTCTAACCAAAATAATTCCACTTACCCCTCCTCTCTTCCAACAAATAAATCTTTTATCATATACATTATGATAGTGTTTGGATTCAACAGAAGTAGAAAACATTGGTTCACATTATTATATACAAGCATCCTTATCCTATTATTATGAGGGATCTAATAGCTGTTGTGAAGTGATCTGCCTTTAGTGTTGGGTTGTATTCTCTGGGAACTTGTTTCGTTTCTTTGTTTTTGCATGGGTTTCGTGTTTTTGTTTCTTTTGTTTGCTCTGTTCGTGTTGGTTGTTGTATGAGGATTTCTCATCCTCTTCTTTGCCCTGCTGAGTTTTTTTTAAAATATATTCTATGTTTCTATTTTAAAAAAATTATTATATACAAGCAAGATCTCTTTCTTTCTCTTCTCTCTCTCCCCCTCCCCTTGGCTATTGGTTCTGTTTTGCTGACTGTTTCGGTGGCTGCAGTCAGTCCTGGTCACGGTTGATCGCCATGAATGGTATGCCCCTCCACAGATATACACACGTGATGATTGTACAGGCCTTTGGACTGCCAAGCCTGCTTTTCAGCCTGATGCTATTCTGCTATCATCTGGTATCAATGATCTCGGAGGTACAGGAAGCCAAGCAGGTCCTCCAAGTAGCGAGGTCATTTCTGTGGGACACATACATCGCGATAGCCATGAGGAATTGACTGATGGCGTCGCTAGTATGGAAACCAGTTATGAGCATGCTTCTGAAGGAGCACATTCTCGGGATGAATTTGATGCTGGAACAAAGAAGCGGCGAGTGAAGGAGAATTTTTCATCTGATGGAGGTGTTGTTGCTGACTGTTCTTTCCCCGAAACAAATGAAGGTAACCTGGAGGATCCAAATACCATGGAGAATGCTGTTATGGGAGATTTTCAAGCTGCAAATTTAGCAACTGCTAATGCTTCATTAGCTGAACGTGCTATAGAGCCAACTCTAGTTATGCTTGAGGTACCCATATTGGAGATTTTATATCATTTTAAGTCTGCAAGTCCTTTCCATTCCTTTCTTCCTTCTATTTATTTATTTTTTGGGGTGGGGGGGAGAGTCACTTCCCTGAGTGTTAAACTCTTTGTTTTCAAAGGAAAATGGCATTATTCTTTGTCTTTGTAGTATGCTCTCTCTCTCTCTCTCTCTCTCTCTCTCTCTATCACACACACACACACACACACAAAGTCACAATTTTTCCAGAGGCAGAAGCACAATGGTAGAGAGATTGGCAATCTTAAGAAGTGATCTCATATAATTGCAGGTTCATGTACCACCATCTTGTATGCTCGATGGTGTACATTCACAACATTTTTTTGGGACTGGTGTAATTATCTATCATTCTCAAAACATGGGATTGGTTGCTGTTGACAAGAACACAGTTGCAATATCTGCCTCTGACGTGATGCTTTCATTCGCTGCTTTTCCAATTGAAATTCCAGGCGAGGTAAATCAATAACATGTAAGCAGATATAGATAATGATTGTTAGATATTTTGCCTAAGCTGCCTACTTTAAATTTCAGGTAGTTTTTCTCCACCCTGTTCACAATTATGCCCTCATTTCGTATGATCCCTTGGCCCTGGGAGCTATTGGTACCTCTGTTGTTCGTGCTGCTGAACTACTTCCTGGTAGGTTTTTCTTTTCACCTAATTTCTCTATTTTTAACTTTCAGTTTTCATGCATTGCATGTGTGTTGTTATAGATTACAATTATATTATTGCTAATAATTATAATTTTTTTTTTCATCTTGCATAATTATGTATCTAAATTGAAATTATCTTTAATTATTAGATTTATTTACCGAAAAGCATTGATTAAGGATTTGGTTGAATGCTTTTTTAATGTTTTAAACATGTATAATTATTTAAGTGAAATTGGAGTTTTATTCTATTTTAGCGTTTGTTACAACACTTTTAGGTAAATGTTGGGCAAGAATTCTCACTTCTATTGATAATATGGATATGTACTGGTTTGTCAACTTCCTGATTCATTATCCATTTCTACTTTTGTATTGTTAGAATATAAAAGTATTGTGCTATGTACTACTAACTGTTAAAGTTGTTACGAACAGTGGTAAACCAACAAAATTTAACATGGTATTAGAGCTTAAAACCCTGAGTTCGAATCCTTGCAACTCCGACCTCCCAATTGACATTGAATTCCATGTTTTGGGTTCTCTAGCTCTGAAGAGAGGTTCATATGTGAGGAGTGGTAGACCTTGGACTTTAAAAATAATAGATGAATAACAGGTTAAACTTTTGTGAACAATGGTAAACCAACGAAGTTTACATTTCTACATGGTTCTGTTCCTTTGGATCTCTATCTATATTTTGACATTAAAAGGGACGTTATGGGTAGTGGGGGGTTCCAGTCTCCATATAAAAAGCTATTCTTTGTGATTCTTGTCCTTGAGTATGGATTTGAGCAATTGTATACTCACCTTCTTGATGGAAAACCATGGAGGGTTTCCCAGGAAAAAGAGGTTGCACTTAGCTCATAACACTCTTCTGTGTGCTTGCACTAATCCATAGATATGGTGCTTTGTGTACTTATTTTAGTGTGGTTTTTACTGTTCTGTGATTTTTAAAGGAGCATAAGGTTGTATTTTAGATTGTTGACTGTTTTTTTTTAATACAAGTGATAGTCTAAACTACAAGGGTGGGGATTGTTTTCTCACACACACACACACACACACAAAATACCAAGATGCCAAGGGGTTCGAACTTGAGACCATTGGTCTGCAAGTCAAGACCCTTTTCCGCTGGGCTAGATCCCGTTGGCTTGTTGGCTTTATATCTTTGTAATATCTTGAAGTTTTAAAACTTTGATAATTTGAGTAATTTCTGGTGTCCCAGCATGCGGCGGTTTGTCTATTTTGTGTCTTTTCTGTTCTGTTCTACTCCATTAATGTGTTTAAACAAATATACTTAAAAAAAGTACTGTCTGAGGCAGATCCTGCGTTACGTCGTGGGGATTCTGTGTATCTTGTGGGGTTAAGTAGAAGCCTACAAGCAACATCTAGAAAGTCCACTGTGACCAACCCTTGTGCTGCATTAAATATTGGCTCTGCTGATTGTCCACGGTACAGAGCAACCAATATGGAAGTCATCGAGCTTGATACTGGTAACTGGAATTCTCATTGTTTAAAGTTGAACTTGATTTTGCAGTGTTGATTTGATTGAATTTTCATTGTTTTATGTTGTGCTGTGTTCAGATTTTGGTAGTACATTTTCTGGTGCGCTAACTGATGAGCATGGAAGGGTCCAAGCCATCTGGGGTAGCTTTTCAACTCAGGTTTATACTGTTTCCCTCAGCAAAAGAAAAAGAAAAACTAAAAATAAATCCAGGTATTTCCTTTAACTTCGGTTAATTTGATTTTTGTTATTGATTCGTATTTGCAGCTGAAATTTGGTTGCAGTAGCTCTGAAGATCATCAATTTGTTAGAGGCATCCCAATTTATGCAATCAGCCAAGTCCTAGAAAAAATCATTTCTGGTGCTCAAGGCCCTCCTCTTCTCATAAATCGTGTCAAAAGGCCAATGCCTCTAGTCAGAATTTTAGAGGTCGAACTATATCCTACATTGCTTTCAAAAGCCCGAAGTTTTGGTCTGAGTGATGATTGGGTCCAAGTACGTCTTCTTCCTGATACTAAATATTTATTCTATCTACATCTGTGATTCATACCTGTTGTTCTTTTATGTTGGCCTATGAAATCACTATGACGCTTTTGGAATGCATTTTCTGTTGCTTTTATGATTTGCTCCATACCTGCTTTGTGAGTACTTGTTGCTTTGTGACTTTGGCCTTCTTACCCTTGCATACCCTTACCTTGCTTAACTCATGAATATTGAATCTCATTCCATCAAATGTTCCATATCACATAAGAGTTCGGTATGTAGAAACAAGTTTAACCCTTCTTTCCTAAGGGAGTATCATATAATCAGAAAATGTTGGAAATCAGATTGCCACTAAATAAAAGCTTATCTTGATGATGTCCCTAGTGTTACATTGGTATTTTTTCATGATTGATTCCTTAAATTAAGAACTCATCACCATTTTCATTCCTACTTCTGCAAGAATGAGCCTGGCTGGATAGGAGCGGCCCTCCCTAGTTATTAGGCCTGTTCTCTTCCAACTGAGGTATGGAGAGTTGGAGCTGTACACGAAACCCCACACTCATAATGCTTCCTTCCATGTGTCCTCTTATTGACTGAAGCATCAGGTTGTTTAGACTTGATACCTCACCAAATTTTGAACATTTTTAGTGACCTCCCTTTTTCACAATGACCTTTGATCGTGGATTCTGCAACTACTCTTTGTGGCTTCTAGGGCCACGCTTTGTATATAGCTGCTGCTGGATAAGAATGGCTACCTTCATGGATCTGTTGGCATTAAAGGTAGAACTTTGTAGAGGCTTGTTTGATGTGAAAACTTATTATTAGTGATTATTGGGGAATCGTCAAAATTGTTTTCTTTTTTGTGAAAGGAAATTTGGGGTACTAGTGTTGCCTACTCCTAGTGTGGATTTCTTGGCATGTATGATCTCTTTGGAGAAGTTTTGATAGTGCCTAATTCATTAGACGGGGAGCCATATTTATAAGTTGGTATTATCCTAGGAGGCAGCTGAATGTTTGACTGACTTGTGATCGTAGTCCTGTCTCGTGATAGTTGTGGGGATCCTTTTCATCAGTCGTTAAACTCTCTAGGAAGTTCTGCTCATCTTTTAATCCCTTATGGGCATCTTGACGTATTTTGTGTATTTAGATGGAGAGGAGCAGTCAAATCCTTTGATGGGGTGGATTGTTCCATGATAGAGATCCAGCCGTAACTCTTTAGGAAACTCTATTCTTTTGAAGGTCCTTGGTCCTCTTTTAGGAGATATTCTTCTGTATGTGGGCTGTGTCCTCTGTGGCATATTTTTTGAAATAAAATTTACTTGAGAAATCTTGTTAGACTGCTACGGATGAATATAATTTTCTCATACTCTCTGGATGGGGGAATGGTCTGCCAGTTTATTATAAACAGTTTGATTTGGTATGTTGATATCCTGTGATCTTTTGTTTTTACTGTTCAACTGAGGAGCCTTATTTCTGATCCATGATTGCGATTGTGCAATTTGCTATTCTTTTCTGTTCGTTACTTGAATTTATATATCAACTTTTGGAAAATCATCTTTAGACTGCCATTATCGCTGTCATTGTAGGCTCTTGTCAAGAAAGATCCAATTAGACGACAAGTTTTACGTGTCAAAGGATGTTTAGCTGGATCTAAAGCTGAAAATCTCTTAGAGCAGGGAGACATGGTTTTGGCGATCAATAAGGAGCCAGTTACATGCTTCCGTGATGTGGAAAATGTCTGCCAAGCATTCGACAAAAATGAAAACAAAGATGGCAAGCTTGACATGACCATTTTTCGGCAGGTAAAAAGAATTTAGTATTTTTAGACTCCTTTTCCAGTCATCTCAAAATGATCTTTGGGTTAGGGGAAGGCTTGAAAGAACATTTGTGTTTAGGGATGCCTATTACGTTATTGTTATTATTATGCATTGATCTTTAATTTACTTCTCTTTTAAGTCTGATCTCCATGGTTTTCCAGGGACGTGAAATTGATCTTCTTGTGGGAACTGATGTTAGGGATGGGAGTGGTACTACTCGTGTAGTAAATTGGTGTGGGTGTATCGTTCAGGATCCACATCCAGCAGTGCGTGCTCTTGGGTTTCTTCCAGAAGAAGGTCATGGCGTATATGTGGCAAGGTAGGAATTTTTCTTGAAGTTCTTATTAGCAAATTAAATTCAGGGTGTTACAATGGAAGTGATAAAAAGTAAAATTTAACAATGAAGTTAAATGTATAAACTTCAATACTTTAACCAGAATTCACTTTTAGAGTTTCAAGGTCAGAAAGGAGATATAATAAGAATGATAAAACATGCATAAAGAATTATAAGAAAAAAAGTCTATTTCCGTGCCCCCCACTACATGTGTTAACTTTTTAGACATTGACTGTGTCAGTGTTGGAACTGTGTTGTACCCGGAGGACATGCCCGTGTCGATCCTTCATGGATTTGCATATTAGCTGATCTTTTACAGCCTGGTTTTTAGGTGCAGAAATGTTTGAAGAATCAGGCTAATTTGGGTATCCGGGCTACTAGTCTAAAGCTGGTCAGGCATCTGTTATTTAGACTCTGGTATAATGGTGTTCTATGTACAGAGGATTATTCTAGGCCCAAATCCTCAATGTTTTCCTCCCCAAACTGTCTGCCCAAACTTTGTGAAAGTCCAGGATTTTCACTTAATTACTTGGGCTTTTCTAAAAAGAAATTTGGTGGTATTTTGTAACTGACTATGTTATGTTCTATTGTTCAATTTTCTCAATATGCTGACGGATTGTCAAATTTACCAGGTGGTGTCATGGTAGTCCAGTGCATAGGTATGGTCTATATGCTCTTCAGTGGATAGTTGAAGTCAATGGAAAACAGACTCCTGATTTAGATGCTTTTGTGAATGTAACAAAGGTACACTTCACTTTATATGTATATATGTGTTTTCTGGCTTATATTCCCCGTTACGTGTATGGAGTGGTAAACTGATAATTTACTGAACTGGTAAAAAAAATGAAAATAAAAATAAAATGATCGTGAAGAGAAATAAAGAACTATGTTTCAGTTTTATGTTGAAATATGTTTCTTGCCCATTGTTTTTCTTGTTCATGTGCACTAGTCAATCTGTTTGTATTTTTCTTGTTCATGTGATTGTAGAGGAAGCATTTGTTAGCTGGCTGGGCTGGTCTGTAGCCCGGCCAATCCCTGAAATAATAAAGAACTTAGAGGTATATAAATTTGGCCCCATTAGCTCCAGCCCTTACCTTCAGCCCAAAAATAAGATATTCTCTTTTTCCTTCTAAATATTTGCTCCAAAATTGCTGCTGCTACTTCTTTCTTCCATGTAACTTTTAATTATTCTTGGGTTCTTTTAGTTTTTAGCAACTTTTGGCAGAAAACTTTCATTCAAAAGAAAAAAATTAGTCTGGAAGTTGAGCCCACGACACTTTGAATCCTGGCTGCAGCCATGTCCCCAGATTAGTGATCTGTATGAGGGTTTTCATTACATCCAACGGAAGCTGTAGTTTCTATATATATCTTTTGTCACAGAATTACGAGTGGGTGTAGTATTTTAAGATATATATTGGATCCATGAGTTGCTTATGATATTTTGTAATGTTGCTTTGAAAATTGCGTCAGGAATTAGAACATGGACAGTTTGTTCGCGTGAGGACAGTCCACCTAAACGGGAAGCCCAGAGTTCTAACATTGAAGCAGGACTTGCACTACTGGCCCACTTGGGAGCTGAGATTTGATCCTGATTCTGCTATGTGGTGCCGAAAGACAATTAAGGCGCTAGATTATACTGGCATATAAACAATGCGTGTTCGTCTCGCGACACAGTTAGTGTTGGAAGCAGGAGGTAGAAATGCTTACAAAGTTTCAGAAGCCCCTGTTAGTCAGGGTTTCAGCATCTTGGCTCTTGGGCATCATACATGGAGTTTATTATATTCAGGCAGACAGATATCTGCATTATCTATTCAATCATTGGTTTTAGGGGTTATAGACTGCAACGATACCTATAGATGTTATGTGAATTTGTTTAAATGAAGAAAATAAAGGAAAAATGGAAATTTGATGTCACACAGCATTTGATAAGGCATTGTTTTAGGGCATCTAATACCGTTTATTTTATTCTATAATTATTATTTTTTCACTAACCATGGTCCTATTTGGTTGCTAAAGGCTCCTATTAGCTCGCATAATCCTGTTTAATCTAATTCCAAGGTACCAAAACAATTGAAAGGGCATTTGCGTCATGCATGTCGTTTATAAAGAATCTAGAGAGAACTGCAAATTGAGTGAGGCCAGTTGGCCAAGGCAGTATGTGTCCCTTTAAAGCAGAGTTCAAACCCTCTCTTCCGTATGTTTAAACCCTCGCTCCGTATATTAAAATAGTTTAGAATATCGTTCTTGTAGATATTTCTGGGTTACTCAACTGGCGAGTGGTTTGGACCTGATGAAATTATATGCAATTCCTCCTGCAAGGCATCCAGTTATTGGTCCCACTATATACACCCATAACCCTTTGTACACATGCTTCACAATCGCTGGCCCTAAGCTCCTCGCCGGGTTCATCGAAGCCCCTGAAACTGGCCTGCAATTTTTATCATTTGTTGTGCCTTTAATTAATATATATATTATTTGAAATATAAGAAAAGTTACCGCGGATCTTATAACCATACATATCAAACTTAATTCTATGTAAAACGGAAAAACAAAAATTACAAAACTAGATACAAGGATGCGAGTAACTATGTCCGACTACCATATTAGCTTCTTAAATAATATGATGTATAACTTCATTAATTTTGTACCTATAACCTATAATAATATGTTTCATAGCAAGAAGGAAGATGAGAGAGATCATGAACAAGAAAGGAAGGAAGAATTACCCAGCAATGAAGACATTTAATAGTATTGTCATTCCAACGGCAACCCCGGCTAGATCACCAATCTGTCAAAAAGAAAAGGAAAAAAAAACTTGAAATAATTTAACTTTCATTTTTTTTTGTTTATATCAGAAGAATTGGAATTAAAAATGTAAATCCAAAGCCCTTATATATTTACCGCTCTACTATCTGTGGAAGCTCCAGAGATGACAAACATCAAGAGGAAGGAGATGATAATTTCAAAGACCAAGGACTGGACACTAGATCCAACTGGAACAGTTCCGAAGTAAGCATTTGGGGTTACATCAAGAAGTAGAGCAATTGTGCCGCTAGCCATTATTGATCCCAATACTTGAGCTACTATATATAATGGGACCTGTACAAATGCATTAGTGTGAATATCAATAAAAACTTAACAGTACCCGAGAAATAACATTACACTTGCAAGGGGTTTGTAGCTTGAGCGATTAAGAAGAACATTTGTCGTTTATGTCGTATGTGTGCGGGTATTGATAATGAAATCCACATTTGAGTTTGACTAAAAAAAAAGAAATAAAGTTCAACATCTTGTAACCGAATAAAAGAAAAAAATCAACATCTTTCGCTTTTTTAAGTCATGTGATTTCAATTGATACGATTGAAAGTACATTTTTTTCATCTAGTAGATAACAATGAACTCGTCAATGTAATAACTACAACCGTGTTTATATACAATACTATTAATTAAAGAAGTTGGCTAGCTACAACCCTGTTTATATACAGTACTACTAATTAAGGAAGTTGGCTAACTTACTGTAAACATGAGGCTTAAAAGCATATCATTACGAAAAAATTGATAAACAAGAAAAGATAATTAAAGAGACTAATTAATAATTAACCTCCCGGAAAGAGAACCGGCGAAGGACGGCGAAGGTGATGGTGACGGCCGGATTGAAGTGTGCCCCAGAAATATGGCCGACTGAATATATCATGGCCATGACAATGAGACCCCATGTTACACATACGCCAGGAAACGTGACGTTCCCATATATTTTGTTCACAGCCACCGAACCACACCCAGCAAATATCACAAAGTATGTGCCAATCAACTCTGCAATCAACTGACGATCAAAAATCGATCGAAAAATTAGACACAATAATTCTGAGACCTTGATAATGTGTGAGAAACCCCTCCCGTTGAAGTTTAGATTATCGCTTGTATTAAAAATAAAAAATAAAAACTATCGGCAACTAATAGCTAACTTTCACGAGTCACGACTATTACCTTTTGAGGGAGGGTTGGGGGTGCAGCTGATGAACGAAAATCATCGCTTGTGTTGGTTCTTGGCGTATGAGAGGTGCTTACAAGACCTTTTTCTATCTCTGAAATTTCTTCTTCAATTCCATCAGATTTTTCTGGCGCCAATGCCATTGTTAGCAAAAGCAAGGACTGATGCTGGTGGACTCCCAGAAAATTGTTAAAAGAAAGAATGGAAGTTTTTTTTTGCTATTTAGGTTGAAATGGTGTAAAGTGGTATATTATCATTAGTCAGGTGGTTTAACTTGTTTTTGGATATACTCGGAGAAAGAGATAATTAAGGAGATTTTGCTGACTTTGAAAGCGGATAATTAGCTTCACAGAAAAACATGGGATAATTCCATACAAATCGCCCTTAAAGGTTTTATAATTAAATATTTCTCTTTTATTTAAAAGGTTTTATAATTCTTTTAGTTGGTTTTTTTTAAATTTTTTTTTTTTTTGGAGAAAAGGGAATTTCAATAAATCATCAAAACCGGCACAAGATGTAGCAGCATGTATTTGCATACAAAAATATATTTTGTTTTTGACAAAAGAAGTATCTTTTCTTTTAAATAGTTGGTCATTTAACAACTAGTAGCTCATTGGTTCGAACAGCGCGTGTGTAATCCCCCTCCTCTGTGTGGGTAATCGCTTGCACTAAAAAAAAAAAAAAAAAAAAAAAAAAAAAAGGAAAAGCCAAAACCCCAAAAGCATGAAAGAGCCATAAAACTTGAATAAGATTTATAAGGGGGAGTTTTAAAAGAATTGCAAAAATTTACAGAAAATATGTTTGTATGCTCTCTAACCATCCCTTTCAAGAAGAAGGTAACATCTTACCAAGATTTAGAAATGAATTAAATAAGTCTAATAACGGGAAGATCCAGCTCCAGATTGCATTGCAAGCAAATTCTTCCACTCTTCTGTATGATTCTAAATTCAACAATGAATTGAAATCAACATCTGACAGTGACAGAAATTGACGGAGATAATGTTGCTTTCACTAAATTATTATATATAAAAATACAACATTTGCTTTACAAACCAGCTAATCAGACATTTTCTATCTATCAGCCTCACACATTTTTCAGTTTATTGACACTTACCAGTCACTCGGCATCACAACAAAGGCCTGGACTGGCATAACTTTTACTAAATCATTCCTTTTTTTTTTTTTTTTTTTTGCCTTTTTCTGGTACACCATGGAAATTTTATCTCACAGGAGGCCGTGTAAAAAAGACAAAGCTAGTTAAACCAAAACAAGTCATTTCAAAGAAACTTCAGAGGTGCAAGTACTGATAGGCAGATCAGTTGGTGTGCATACCAGAGCCCTTTGCTGCAAATGTCTCAGGCTCTGCTCCATGCTAACTTGAACCATCTCGGCCAGCATTTTCTTCGCTTTACCGGACTGATCATCACCGTCAATCTGGGAGATAATGTTGCATACAATGTTCTCCAGTGTGTCTGCTTGAAGCTCTGATCTTGGATATGGGGAATCCCTCAATAAGTGCAAAAGCGTGTGTGCTTTTGTCTGAGACTTTGGTGTTCCTTGAACTGTGAGCTCGAGAAGTCCAGGGATCACACCGTCTTTCAGAATTGCTTCTCTATATCTGCATCTGTCACTCTGGCACATTGTTAGCAGAGCACCAACTGCATGCTCCCGACTTTGCAGCGATCCATTTTCGAGCACCTCAATCACTGCAAGCACTCCACCTTCTTCAGATGTCAATGCAGTTCTGCCCTCATCAAATCCCACCAGAGACTCTATCAGAGCACAGCATTTTTCGGCCGTCTTTGAAGATTTCTTGCAGGGTTTTAATAAAGTGACTATAGAAGGGATTGGTTTTGCTTCAAGAATGATGGTAAGGTTACTTGGGTGTGTTGAGAGATTGGAAAGAGCCATTACTGAATCAACTTTGGCTTGTGGGCTTCCATGTCTAAGGGTTTCCACCAGAAGAGGAATGGCACCAGAAGAACCTATGATTGGCTTGTTGACCGCAGAAGCCGATAGAGTGAGTAGAGATGCAGCTGCATACTCCTGCAGATTGGAACTCTGTGACTCAAGGAAAGAAATTATTGGTTCTAAAGCACCAGCTTCCACAATCTTAATTTTATTCCTGTCAGATCAAATTCAAAGAAACAAAATCAGCAGATGAAAAACTAAGATTTACAAAATAGTGAACTTCTTTGTTCTTTCTTATTCTAGAAGGTATACAACATTATATTTCTTCCTCACCAAACAAAAAACCCTTTTATTATAATATGATCTACCTTCAGGGAGAAGATATAAAAAGAAAAAGCTAAAAAAAACGATAGAGTAAGAACCAAAGAAAAAGAACAACCACCCCTCGAATCTTCGTTGGCTCCTCGAACCATAAAGCATCCAATTCCTTTCAAAACAAGTCTAACATAAAGCAAGCCCTCCTTTTTGTTTTCTTAATATATACGAGTTTGTTCTATGATGGCTTCCTGTTTGCCTTTCACTCCCTCATAGTGCACCTTTTGGTTGCTACTAATTAAAAATATAATTCTCTTTAATCACATGGTGGATTTCATTTTAGTCCTTAGAGGCAACCGACAGTTTATTTTCTCCAGTCATAGCAGACCCAATACACAGTTATTCTTCTATGCGGACATTCGGACATTATTAACATCATTGTAAACATAAACAGAACGTCCGCATAGAAGAAAATCTTTATGTATATACATATTCCTTTTAATATCAATATTTACTAAGAAATTTAGACCAGTATCAAATTTCCTTTCTTTCTTCCTTGAGCCAATATAACCAGTTTCAAATTTGCCCTCATTTGGTCTCTCATAACATGAACAAATTTATTTTGACAAGTCCAAAACGTTTGATGATAAGAAAACAAAATCTGACCCACAACTTTAGCAAATTGTTTCCCCCACAATTTTCTCGGCTAGCAATCAGATAAAAGAAAAAGTAAAGTGGAAAAGAAAAGAGAGAAAATGATAGAAGAGGAAAAAAGAGAATCCCCCGAATAAGATCCTGTGCGACCTATTATTTAATACTAAATTCAAATATTTTTTTTTCTTGGATTGAGGAATCCGAGGAAGAAAATTTCAAAACTCAGAAAAAAATCAATTCACAAATTCCAAGAGATTTATTAGTCTCCAACAAATTCGAACAAAAAAGAAAGACTTTTAATTAAATAAAATTCAAAAGAAAAAAAAAAAGGAGTTGGGTGGGGAATGTTTTACGTACGTCTCATCCTTGACGGCGAGATTGAGGAGAGCGAGGAGGGCGGACTCGTGAGACTCGGCCGAGTCGCGGACTCGGAGCATGGACACGAGCGGGCCCACCGACGCCGACAGCTGGCGCCGACACCTGTGCGAGGTCTTGGTGAGGCGGCGGATTTCCTGAGCGCCCTGGAGCTTGGAATTCTGGTCGTCGGATTCGATAAGTTGCAGAGCGCGTTGGACGGCTGAGGACGGTGAGGAAGTGGGGGAGGATGATGAGTCTGGAGTTGAATTCAGACCGTCGGATGAAGAGCGGGAATCCATTGAATTGTAAGAAGAAAAGAGAATAGGTGAAGAAATGGGTATAATTTAGTTTGGTGGTGGAGTTAGAAAAAAACAGAGAGAGAGAGAGAGAGAGAGAGAGAGAGAGAGAGGAAATATCTGAGTTGGGGATTTAGAGGCTGAGAAGCTCAGCCAGCCTCAAAGAGAGAGAGAGAGAGAGTTGAGAGAGAGAGAGAGAGAGTTGGCGTTAAGCAACAGTTCGAAACTTTTATTAAGACATGAGCCAGTCCTTGTCCGTTGGCTTGTCATTTGAAGATTTGTCTACTTTTATTTATTTATTTTGTTTAAATTTTTTGCTGGGAGCTTACTAGCTTTTGCCTTGTGTCTTGTTTCTATTGGCAATGGCCATTTGTGTCACCATTACTGTACTCGAGAAAGTTGATTTGAGGATGATATTGTTTTGCTCGTTCGGGCACGTGTTCGTTTATGATTTGAACCACGATTACTCGTGCCAATTGAATTAATCAAATAATAATAAACTCTTTACTTATCAGATATTTACAAGAATTGTTTTGGAAGACTAGCCGACGAAGACGAAGAGAGAGGGAGAGAGCTTGCTTCAGATCCGGCACTGTTCTCCGATTTTTGGCGGATCTATGCCGATATGCTCCTTCTTTGGCAAATTTATTGTCTCTATCACGAATACGGGCTGGTTTTGAATGTGCCTTATTTTGCAAGACTGCTTTTTTAGGTGTTGATGCTTGGTCCTGGTAAATCTATTATTGATTGACGTTTTAGGGTCATGGAGTGACTAGGTGTCACCATCTATATCATGTCTTAGTGAATTATTAGCGGCGTTTGCTCTTCTTTTGTCAGTGTTGTTTTTGATTTTTAGTCTTGGTCTGTTTTTGTCAATAAAATTCAAAAACTCTATGAGTTTTCTATGTTTTTTCTCTCATAATTCCAGAAACTTAGTTTAGTTGTTGGTTGTTCTTAGTCTTTTTAGGAAAGTTTTGCCTTTATATAGAACGGAAAGAAAAAAAAAAGTTCTAGAAGACAAAGGCGAAACCATGAATTCTTCAACGAGTTGGCTGGCTAAAATTGTTCATTGGTTCCACCGAATGCTCCTATATCTCAACAAAGATCGGGTGAGTGTTCTGTTATGCTTCAGATGGTTCGCCATAGAATAGATTGACGTAGTTCCCGTTCTTTTCCGATGCACTCGTTTATATCTTTGACACAACTTAAAAATCTAATGATTAATTTTTTTTTTGTACTACAATTTCTATAGTCTTTCTAGATATAAAAGTATACATTAAATCATTTAAACCATGCTAGTTCATAACTAGGTTTTCTTGTGACCTATGCTTGAGTTCTCCTTGCAATTTAAGTGCTCTGCTCACCTCCTCTTCAAAGGGGAAAGGGGGAGTGAAAAAATATATGTTTCCCTTTCTTATGGTGATATTGCCTTTTTCTTGACTCCGACAAACCCTTCTCTTCAGGGGGAGAAGGGGAGTGAAGAGAAGTTGTGTCTACATTAATTAGCTAAAGTTGATACAATAGAATTTGTTGTCGTTTTTCTGCTGATGTTGTCATTGCTGTTTTTGTTGCCTTTGCCCTTGCCTTTGCTTGCTTCGTTTTCCGTTGTTGTCGTTGTCGCCGTTGACCTTGCCTTTATTTGCCCTTGCCTTTGCCT